ACTAGTAGGCAGAGAGGCAGGCAGAGAGAGAGGAAGAAGCAGGCTCCCTGCTGAGCAGAGAGCTCGATGCGGGGCTCGATCCCAGGACCCTGGGATCATGACCTGAGCCGAAGGCAGAGGCTTTAACCCACTGAGCCACCCAGGCGCCCCTTTCCTGCTCTTGTTATGATGAGTGACTTTTTTTTTTTTAATTTTTTATTTCTTTTCAGCATAACAGTATTCATTGTTTTTGTACCACACCCAGTGCTCCATGTAATCCGTGCCCTCCCTAATACCCACCACCTGGTTCCCCCAACCCCCCCCCCCCCGCCCCTTCAAAACCCTCAGATTGTTTTTCAGAGTCCATAGTCTCTCATGGTTCACCTCCCCTTCCAATTTCCCTCAACTCCCTTCTCCTCTCCATCTCCCCTTGTCCTCCATGTTATTTGAATGAGTGACTTTTTTTTAATGGAGACCTGGCGGGTTTGGATATGATGTTTTGAGGGTCTGGATCTTATTTAAATCTTCGGTCACAGAGGCCACTCCTGGCACATTGCTGGGGGTGCTGACTCATTACTGCCACGTGGAAGGCACAGAGTCCAGGGGCCCCACGTGCCCTGTGACATCAGCTGTGTCCTTCCTGGGGTCTTCATAGTCTAAGCCTGGCGGCCAACTTCGCTCCACTTTTCAGAGTACTCATGTGTCTTGTTTATAGTCTGTGGGAGTTTCACCTGTGAACAATGGGGTTCTGCAGGGAAACGGATGTCCACTTCCTCTTGGCCCCAAACAGGACCTCCGAGATGCAATTGATTTGATTGATGTTTTAAGTGACGTGGCATAAGTCCTTTTCAGATTAGAGTAATAGGTCTTCACATTATTTTGGATAGTTCATGCATACAATTTTGTGATCCATGAATAATCAGACTATTTAATTAATTAATTAATTAATTTATTCATTCATTCATTCATTCAGTTTCCAGAAGGAAAGAAAACATTATTATTATAGAAACCTAAGAGAACCCAAGTCCGGATGCTTAAGATAGTTCCTCCAAGGAGCTTAAGGAAGAGGAATAGAAGAGGAAAGGATTCCACACATTGATGAAGGTAATAGTAGGCAACAAATGAGAATTAGGCAAAGTAACATCGAACTGGACACTTACAGCACCCAGCCTCATCAGCTGGGGGTGTCCAGGTGGAAACAGCCGGGCTGGAGTCCCTAGTCTATCCATTCAGTACGTATCACGTTTTCCCCCCTTTATTTAATTGATTGGCTCTTCTCGTCAGATTCTCATGTCAATTTTTGTTTTTTCGGGCCTGATAAAATGGGCTGGGGAGGTACTCCTTCTTTCTCTATTCTCAGGGGAAGCCTGTGTGAGTTCAGTATGTGTATGTGCACATGTGTGTTCATGTGTGCGCTCACATGTTCATGCGTGTAGACATGTCCACGAGTGTGCGTGCGTTCACATATTCACGTGTGTAGGTGTGTCCGTGTGCTCGTGTGTGTGTTTATTTCACAAGTGCGTCAGTATTTGGGGGCATTCACCAGTGAAACTTTCCAGACTCAGTTCACTTTGTGGGAAAAACTTTAACTGCATACTCACCGCGTTTTACACACACAGTGATTCCGATTTTCTATTCATCCCGGTGTCCATTATTTTGGTAACCTGTATTTCTGAGGATTTGGTCTGTTTCATCTACATTCTCTAATATTTTGGCATAAAATTGTTCATAATATAATAACAATTAATAAAAGTGAACATAATAAACTCTGTTATCGATTTAAAGTGTGTAGGATGTGATGCTGTCCTGACTGGTGATGTGTTGTGTGCCTTCTCTCTCTCTGTTCCTTGGCCATTGTGACTAGGATTTCAACATATGATGAATATATACAAAAATGAACATTTTGGGCTTCATTGATTCTTCTCTATTTTTTTCTTTGACCTCATTAGTAGCTTTTCTTATCACTTTAATTTCCCTTCTTCTACCTTCATTTGGAATAATTTGCTATTCTTTTTCTAAATTCTTGGTACAATAGCTTGGATCATTGACTTGGTTCTTAATTTTCCCATTTCACTGGTTTGATGTATAACATTTACATTGTCCTTCAGTGTAAACATTCTCTTGTTTCCTTTTTGATTTTCTCATTTCATCCATGGGTAATTGAGAAGTCTGTTGCTTTGATTTCCAAAGTGTAGGGGTATTACTATCTTTGATGGCGGAATTGGTGACTCCCAGAGGGTCCCAGGAGTTCTTACTGGTCCATGTGAGGAGTCCAGGCTGGGTAGGGTCATTAGGTGGCACCCACTGTGGGCAGATCCTGTGCCTTCCAGGGTCCCTGTGGTCCCCCTCTCTGGAGTGTGAGGTCTGGGTCCCTCCTGGGCTAGCAGATGGTCAGAGCAGCATACACACTGGGCTCTGCTGGGGGCTCCCCTGATTGGGAAGGAGGGGATGCCCTTGTCTCCTATCTGAGGGCCAAGGGATCCAGCTGGGCGTAGGTCACATCCCGGGATGTGTCAGACGCAGTAACCTGCA